TGCGGAGCGACCGAAGGGAGCGAGCAGCAACATAATCAGGATTTAAAGGAAATATATAAGGGGCGACGAATTCTCGAATTCATCACTTTTTACCACAATGCATTGCATTTAACCACACTTTTTACCACAATGCATTGCATTTAACCAGAGTGCATTGCGCTACGAACAACTCAAATAAAAACACGGGGAAGTTCGGTGGGTGAGAGAGTGCATCGTTCGCTGCTCAGATTTAGAGTTTTCTTTGTGGCAAATTTTCTACAGCACGGTTAGAGGTCTTACCAAATTTTAAGACACGCAGGAGTCTTTCAGATGAGTACGATGGTTAACTTGGGGATTGGATTTCAATTCAAGAGCCTTTGACTCGTCCAGGTGTTAAACCTGACGAGAAGATGAGCATTTGCTCTTCGACTCCGCAACACGGGGGATATACAAATTCCAGTTTCCTAGAAGGTGATGTGAAAGTGAGAAAATGTCATGCAGTGCTATTCTTAAGAAACTGTATGAGCCGAAAATGGATGTGATTTTGACCATTCGCTTCAAAATAACAGCGGAAATCGAGATAACAAAACATATGTTTTGTGTCCTACTTTGCAGACGAGGACGTGTATCGGCGTTTTGAAAAGCATAATTATGTTCTTTCATTCATTCATTGCCATGGAATATGCGTGTACATTGTTTTTTCACTGTTAATAGCTGGGTTAATACGGCTGCCGATCATCGTGCCGGCGGAAGTTTCATGGAAAAGGAATAAATTGAAAGACTTTTCCGCAAAATTACGTAATCAGCCTCTGTGGTGTAGTGGTTAGGTATAGTCGCGCCGAGCCGAAGGTGCAGTGTTCGAGTCCTACCGAATTCTTAATTCCTTTGTTCTTTTTTTTCCCGTTTTTTGTGTTGTTGTTTTCTATAAATATATAGCTAAATAACTGTTACTTAATAAAGTGCAACAAACAGCAAGAAAAGTATTGTGTTTCGTATATTAAATATATGGATAAACAATCTGAATTTCTATTATTTCCTACAATTTACTGTGGGAAAACCAGAGTTATAACCACTTGATCATTTTCTAAACAACGTTCCCACGAGTTCTTTCTATAGACTGATAGTAATTATTCTAGTACTTTCCAACATGTAAATAGGACATTCAATGTCATTTTCGATTCTTTTAAGTCTCACTGCCTAACTAATTCCAGTATCAACAGAATGTGCCGCAGCATTACTATCTTTTAGATACCCTAGTTAATAAAATAGTAAGATTAAAAAAAAACGCTCAGAACTGTCTGTAATGTCCAAGAACGATTTTTTTTTCATTGTTTTGTGCTGATATATAGCGCGTTTTGATGAAATTGCTAATCCTGGTCGTGTCCTGCCGGAAAACGACCCAACGTGGAAAGCAGGAGGAACAACATTACAAGGATACAGCTCCCAGCACTTCACCACTGCTGACCCAATCAAGGTGGATTCTTCAAAGAAGGTTGAATTGCTGTTGAGGCTTGTAGCAAGGTATGACATCTTCTCTTTTATTACTATTAACCATTAAACTTTAAGAAGAATAAATAAATCTAAATAGAACTAATGATTTGCTTGTCATATTTCTTGAAATTCATAATTTTAAAATGACTGAATAGTTTCCAGTTCTGTCATAGATTATGTATTTATGAAGTCCGTTTTTTTCAATCCATAGTATGACCACAGCAGCGTGCAAAGAAAGTGGTGTGCGATAGCCCGGGGCTAGTGGATTTTGCTACCGGGCTAGTAATTTCTATTCTTAACTTGCCTAATGGGCAAATAAGGTTTAAGGGGGGGGGTGGGGGGGGGGGGTGGAATTCAAATTACAGAAGAACTGTAACCAATACTCATCAAAAATTTTTTTCGGGCTAGTTGAAATGACTTTTGGGCTAGTAAGTGTTAGCTACAGCGTTCCCGAATAGCAAGCTGTAGAACTGACTTTCTTTGCACCCTGCACAGACAGAGTATTGTTGACTACACGAAGTTCTCGAACCATATTTATCAAACTATATGGCGAAATAGTTGTCATGATGATCATAATAATAATTATGAATGAATAATAATAATAATAACATAATAAAGTACACACAAATTGATAGTCTCTAGGTATTGTTTGATGACAGTCCCAGGAATAAACGAAGTCTATCATCCTTGAGACAGCAGTCAACAGCAACTGTTGGCGTCAGTGTCATGCAGTATCTGATTACACTGTTTAATCTATGCTAAAATAAGCTCAATCAGATCCGAGGGTTGAGGTTGTAGAGTGTTGTTATGGTTCGCCCTTTGAGTATTGATCGCATTTATACGCTGGCGCACACCTCATTGCCTGGTTTGTGTAGGGCAAGTTTCTGCCTGTCTGAAATCTTTTTTCCCTTTCTTTTACATGGTTAAAGCAGGATAAATCAACTCATAACTTACCAGCCCGAGGGAAACAGTTCATTTTGTTTCTCGAGAATCTCGATGTTTCCCGAGGTGAAGCCGAAAGAAACATATAGATTCTTGGGAAACAAAGGGAGGGACCAGTCTTGAAGCGATTTTCTATATAGATGAAAATTTTGAAGCTGGAACTACATCATCAAACCTCGCTGTAACAGCGGTCGTCGGTCAACATTCGCACTGTAATGTTGCTCGATCAGATATGACCTCGAACGGGACCAGTGAGAGCACGCACTGTCGGGAGGAACTTTCCAACTATATAACAATACCCATTGTATTCCTTATATGTAGATGCCGAGACCTAGACCGAGTTTTGAACCTAACCCTTTTACTTTCATTTTCAGAGAGGACGAGACAGACCTTGTTTTTCCCAAAGAGGACTTCAAACCGCTGTCCACCTTGTGTCCACCAGCTGTACCAGAGTAGAAAGGGACAGAAGCGAGACAGTTTATAATTTAGCATGCAACTGTATTAAATTTGAGCTAGTAGCTTAAATTTACTCTTTATTTCATTTCCAGAAGTCAGCTAAGATAAGAAAAAAAAAAATTTTTCGGATCTTAAAATAACACCTGCTCAAGGTTGTGTTAGAACCTTTAGACTGCATACGTTAAGAAATATAGGCTGGCTTTTTCCTAGCTGTAGATAAGCTCAGCCAGTTATCGTCTTAATTTAAATATTGATTCGAACAGAAGGTGTGACGTTTCCGTTTAAGGTGTTTCTAACAAAAGAGAGAAAGAAAAGAAGGAAGGAAAAAAAAGTAAGCATAGCAGTACGTAACTTTTTATAATAAAAGCCGGGAATTCTGACTGAAAAACTCCCTCCAGTTTAATCTAAAATTTACGAGGCTTCAGAAAACAAGGGCTGTTGGAGTTCTTTGTCCCACGAAGTCAAATTTAAGTGTTAAATCTTTATACACAAGAAAGGTTTTTAACCGGATCATTTTTGAAGAACCCTTGATATGCTGGTTAAGATTTTTTTGGTCAGTTTGATATCGCCCCAAGGAAACTGATGACAGTAACGTTTTAATCCCCACTGTTAACAGCTTTTCTTTAACTGTCCCAGCAAATTAAACCAGCGAGAAGTTGTAAGGTGCCAAAAGTAACTGTGTCACGGAGTATTTGGAATTTTTGCGCTCCCTATAAAAACGTCACTTTTTCAAGACTTTCCGCCTCTCCCATTGGACCGCTCCGAGGAATCTTTTCAGGGCAGGAGCGCGAGCTCGTTTCCCAAGCGGCGGCTGGTAATCGAGCTTACAAGACACGCTACCTTGGGGTGATGTTACTTAACCCGTGAATACGAACTATTTCTGTCTAATTTCATTGTTTTCTCATATTTACTTGTAACCATTTGGCACTAATTGTTACATACTGTTTAACTGGTTTACTTAAATCACCATTACAGTAATCTATTGAATTGTTATTAAAAAAAACTTTCAGTTTTGCGGAGAAATATGTCATTGTTTCTCCCACCCAAAATGCCCAGCTTCCACCCTAGAAATATTGTTATCATTACCGTATTTTAGTAACTATATCGCAAAAATCATCCAGACGCGATGAGGTCAGTGCACACATAATAACATTTCTCAAAATTGTGTCTCAAAATGCACCAGATTGCATCTCAGCGCATATATTTCAAAATTTCTGGTGGGGGCATGCCCCTGCACCCCCTAGGAAGCTCGTGGCTTTCGACCACTCGGGACTTCACCCCCAAACGATAAATCCTAGATAGAACCCTGTTTCAATATCAATAATTTTTGAGATTCACAACATGAAACTACGTAAAAATGAGCACCAAAAACGTACAACTTGTACTGCAACAATTCTGCTAAATAAGTTGTATAATTTTTGTTTTGTTTGCTTTACTGTACCTTTACATCTCTAGTGGTAGCGCTTCGTAAACATCAATGGAAGAATAAGACATCTCTTTAAAGTGGTATTTTATTTTTTCTGAAGTTGTAATGAAACGGAAGGTGACTACCATAAAATTTTTAATCCGTACGTTTTCCTTCAGATGTTCTGGTAGTTAGTATGTCATCTTCCTTGACAAACAATACTCTTTTCTTTTCAGCTTTAAAAACGATTTTCACAATATACAGAAGAATTCTGCTCAAAACGAGTTCAAATAAGTGAAACAATAAATAACTGCCAAAATCAAGTATATTATACTCTCTGTGACTATACAGACTTTTCTTCTATAATACAGGGATGCAGTAAAACTATTCGGACTATCTGAGTGACTCCACGACACAATCATACAATTATTTACACTGAGCCAATGCAGAGGTTTCAGAAAATTCAGCCAGGTTTTATACCATATCAGAATGTCTTGCTCGGATAGAGGTGCGTTCTTCCACACTTTGCGTATAAATGGTCCATTTTCAAATGTAAGATGCCTCATAAAAATCTAGTGTTATTTTTTGCTCGTCTTTCGTGACTGGACAATAAAAGATTAGCAAATCAAGTTAATTTCTAACTTGAACATTAAAACTACCTATGTTTACAACAGTTCCAAGGAAAAAGATTTTTCTTTTTGAAAGATCTTGAGTAATATGCAGAAATTTACTTAATGTCACACAACAGGGCGACACCGCGCAGAATCCAGTGATCTGGATTCTGATTGGTTTTCAAGTCCACACTTGCAATATACGTCAGATCTGTTCTCCTTGGTTTCTTGTATATCGGGCACTGGTACATCCGGGCATCTCGGCCAGCGGTCGTGTTAATAGCGTAGATATGAATGACTGGCATGGCGGTGAAGAGAACCTTCTGCGTGGGTTCCACAAGTTTGCAGCCTCTGCGATCCCACCCGGCTCCGTCAAGATACAATCCATGCACATAGACCCCTTCAGCTGGGGGCTGAGTGATGTCATCTTTAAAGAAACGCGTGACGTCATTATGAAGCACCACGCAGTCCAGGGCCCAGCCCTTGTGCGCACGCGTCACTTCCTGATAAATAGAAAAAGATTCATGCGTAAATTTTGTTTCTTAAGGTAAAGAAAGTAATTGATAGGAAGAAAATCATTCGCACACTACACGGCTGGTTTAATTTTTATCTCATGATATTGACAAACATTGTAAAAATGTAAATGCTATGGTTTAATGTTATCTTTGGTTTAAATTTAATTTTCTTTTGTTTTTGGGTTTGGTGATATATGATAATGAAGGAAATAAAAAAACGAGGAAAAATTGAACCACAACATATATTCCTTGTAACTAGCTACATAGTAGTCAGTTAAAGCATAGTTGATATATTGGAATGGTTAGCATTCATGTCTTGTTGATCTTATTGACCAATAGAAACCTTACATTAATTTATTCCGTCATTAAAAAACAAAAAATTGTGCACCGTCAGAGAACTTCCAACATAAACTGCCGGGTACCGTTGTTGTTACCATTAATGTTTACGGCCTGTCATAACCAGTTTTCTCTACTAACTGTGTTTAAAGCTACCAAAGAGCCACTAGAGGCGTCAACATACGACGAGGTTATATTTCACCATCTCGCCTCCGGGGTCACTTTTGACTTCACCGTTGGTCTATGACTGACCAAACGTACGGTAAAACGAGTAAATACTGTTAATTACTGAGGAAAACGGATTACAATCGATTTGAGGTTACGCGGGAGACCGGGTCGAGATGATTGTCGAAGTACATTGTGGGACTGTTTTTAATATGGCGGTAAATTCATCCCCCAAAAGAGGCCCACAATGCACTTTGACAGCCATTTCGACCCGGTTTCTCGCGCAACCTTAAAGTGGCGAATAAATCATACTTGTCTCATGGCGGTGAGGAATCCTTGGGGATTGAAGAAGCCTGTCATCCAGAACACATTAGGTCTTCCTTCAAAACACCAATTCCTAAACTGGCTGTTTCTTTCCAAAAGTTCGGTGTACCAGAATCCAAGCGTGGAAGACTCCCATGAGATCTAAAAAGGGATGAAATAAAGTGGAAGAAAAATGGAAAAAATGGTCGATGTTTTCTCGGGAAAGTACTTTCAAATGTGTAACTAGAACGCTTTAACCTGTGGATGTCCCGACATTTTCTCCTGTCTTAACCCTCATCCTTTGTAAAAGAGAGTGGTCAAGAGAATTACGGACATGATCACACAAGATGAATTTGCTTGATATTTTATCAACTTCTCCCCGCTGATTCTGTGGGAAATGAATAGGGGCAACAAATGAGAATTTAAATTTTGATATTAGGGTTTAAAGGGGTAATTATAAACTACTTACTTTTTTCCAGTGTGTAGGTATCCTGGCATCGTACATGCAGTCAAGTGAGTCTCTTAAGGTCTAAAGAAAAGGCCAAGAATTGTATCAAAATCAAATAAAGAAAAGTGCACAGTGAAAGTTTAAGCCCAGGACACGGAACAGTCCGTTTGGCTGCACTCTGCTATAGCTACAATAAAAGAATGGCTTGGTCACTGTAACTAACGTTGGCACTTCTCATGACCATTTACATGACGGCAAATTATTAAAAACAAACAAACGAAAACAATTTATCAGCTCCGTTTTTGGTAAGCAAAGGATTGGCGATAATATTCCACATTTGTCATTCGATGATTCTCAAGTTTTTCAAAGAAAGATAAAACTTAACGAAAATGCCAAAAAGGCAGAATAGAAGAAAGCTAACCTCGCTCATAATGATGGTTCCGTCAATGGCCAGTTTTAGATCTGTCAGTGTCTGCCGCACAGCGGTTATCACTCTCTGCATTCGATCGATTTCTTGCCTCAAGAAGATATTCATGGGAGACAGTGCTCCCATCTTCTGCAACCTCGCCTTCACCTGAAATTAAAAAAAAAAAAAAAATGAGAATTTTCAACCTCTATACTCGAATACCAGTTTATACGCTAGAAAATCCTCCATGAAAAGAGGTCCACTTTTTTCCCGTGATTGACAAAGAACTGAGGACTCGGATACACAGTGAAGCGTCAAAATAATCTTATTCGTTCAGTTTACCTCATGTGCGATGTAGTTTTCAGGAAGCTTATCGAGCATGTCATCAGCCAGCCGCTGTACAACAGACTCGCGGGTTTCTCCTCCGCCGCCCGAGCTATCCTTTGGCTGAATGCTAAGGATTGTATCCAGGCAAGACTTGGCCAGGTTACTCTGGTATCTGTAAACACACGTGAAATACTCGTTAGTGTATTTTCGACAGCCCCGTTCATTTTTTTTTTAAGCCGAATGCATCGCTAACGTAGCTACAATTTACCATGCAAAGGTGCAAAGTTATTTTTAACAACTTCTTGCTTGGATTTTCACAACGGTTGTTGCATGTTTTTAAACACAAAAAGATGGTTTAAAGAGTTGAGACTATTTCTCTTTCTAAATAATTTTCTAAAACTGGAAGTCAAGGGGTTCTAAGGCAAGGTCAAGAACAATGGAATTTTTTACCTTGGACGATTTACAAGCCTTGTTTCGTTAAATCTCAACTTACGTGATATCGGCGTTAGGATGCAGTCCAAACACCTCAGGGGAGTCCACAAGGGGGAGAGTGTCTATATGATCCATGTATTGCGGTACTGAGGTACACTTTGGTATGGTATAACCCTTGTAGAAATTAAAACTTTGCTGGAACATTGACTCGCTAAACCACACCTACAAAGGATGAAGTGAAAAACTGCATAACCATTGGCTCAGGGAGCAGATCTGTAAAAATGCTGGTAGCTCGTGCTGAAGGTCAGTAAAAGTGAAATTGTAAACTGAGGACAAATCTACTTGGGTCTTGAATGTCCCTAGTTAAATACAACTGCAAACAAACTTTTTCTCTGTTCAAACACAAAGTTTTACGAAAATACATGATATGATAGTTTCCAAGAAAAACGTCTCAATAAAAATGTTTCCAGGAACCAAAAAAGTCCTATGCCTGTCAAGACTCAACTTATTCCATGGAAATTAAGCAACCGTCCAAAAATACCGAAGTTACTTTCTAATTGATTTAGTCCGTTTGGTTTTTGCAAGAGTTGATAACTAACAGCGTATTTTCTAAACTACAATACAGACACTCGTTTAGTTTTCAGAGTATTTACCTTGGCAAAAGTGTTTAGAAGCCGTTTATCAAAGTCGTCTGTGACCCTTCCGCCATATTGAACCTCTCCCAGCATGTAACGTACAGTGTTCCATGATACACCCTTCTTGATATCCATGTCGTCCAAATGGTTTTGAACAAACTGCACACTGGCTGTAAAGTCAGCCTGGTTAAATTCATATGGGATATTCCAGCCCAATGGACCGTATTTTCTACGTTCCTAAAGGACAATGAAAAGTAATGTTGACGCAGGTATGCTACATCGCTATGCCGTGAGTGAATTAATAAAATAAGTACTGCAGTTTGTAAGTAAGTTTAGTAGAGATAATTGGGTAGAGCTAGGAAAAAACTGCTTATGACAGCTATTGATAGGACACCGTTTTTGATTGAATAAACAACGAGAAACAAAAAAGATCAAAGCTAAAGCAATGACTTTTAAGGGACGAGGAAGTTCAAATTTCGAATCAGTTACTTTTCTTCGAGGAGATTTCAGGAACTGTCGGGTCAAATATCGATCAACGTGTTAAAATGATCGTAGTACATTTGTTTAGAGAAATTGACCGACTTTTGCACATTGAAATCCAAAAAAAGACATAAACTATTCATCCCTAAAACCTCAGTGAGACAATTAAAAAGACATTGCTGCAATATTGTTGAGTCCTTTTAACGATGTTAAATAATTTGTTCAAGAAGTTCAACATTTGGTTCAGTAGTATTAAAACAATATTGACACCAATGATGGGCCTCCACCCACCTGAACAGTAGTATGAAGGAAGGCAACGGCAAAGAGCATGGGTTTCCACTGTGGAAGGTTGCTGACATCCAATTGGTCTTGATTAATACCTTGAAACAACAACATTAACAAGAATTTAACCCGTGACTGGTCAACAATAGAAGGAAGAAGAAACCTGCATAAAATGCAAACCATTAGCTTACCGGTGTAGGTTCGCTTGAGTCCGGCCCTCAGTCCTTGGGGAGGTTCATTGGTGAATTTGATGGACATCTGTTAAGAAGAAAAAAGTCACTCATATCAAAGTAAGTACTTTAAAGTAAATAGTACTTGAAATGACTTCTATGCTACCTTCATTAACATATTCTAATGGGGTGGCGCCGCTAAATGGTTAAGGCATTATACTCGAGTCCCCGCTCTGGTCAATGGCACATCGCTTGTAAACACCTGACTCTCGTTCAGCTTCCGCCTGTTAGTATTTTAGACTTTTAACTTTTAGCATCAATATCAGTTTTTAAACTAAAAACTTAAGTACGCTGACGTTAAGGGGGGGTGGGGTGTGTGCGTGTGTTTGTGTCAGTATGTGTGATAGGGGAGGAGGGGGCGGTGAGGGTTGCTGTGACTGTAATTCGGCGCTGGAAAAGAATGATTCAAGGCGACGGATCTAGCACCCAGCGGACAGGCGATATCACAAAGCCTTATAAGGTAAGAGTTGTCGTACCCACAGAATAAATGCAAATGCCATATAACTGTGCCCTTTATTAATCAAGTGGTTAAGGCATTGTACTCGAGTCCCCGCTCTGGTCAATGGAACATCGCTTGTAAACACCTGACTCGTTCTCCTCCTGCCAGTTAGTATTTTAGACTTTTAACGTTTGGCATCAATATCAGTTTTTAAACTACGCTAAATTTTT